AAAAAAAAAAAAAAGAAAAAGAAATTAAAAAAAAAATCGCACCCACAGACTACAATACTCCAAATTATGCTTAGCAGGAATAGAACTTAAAATAGAGCTACATCCTGTGTTGCCTTTTGCTATTTAGAAAAGGAGGAAAATGTAGTAAGAATAGCAGCATCTTTCTTAAAATAACAATGACTTAATGACTTAGGAATCAATAAAATGTTTTCTGATTCAATACTCTAAGGACTAGAAGCATACAATATAAAACAATCAAATAATTTGTAGGGTTAGGGTGTAGCTCATGATGAAGAGCTGGCCTGGTGTGTATAAGGCCCTGGTTTTTATCTCCAGCACTATAATAGTTACTATTATTTTTGTGTCAGTCTTGGGGCTTGAACTCAGAGCCTGGGACCATTTGAGCCACATTCCATGTCAGACTTTTTTAAATGGTTAATTGGGATAAGAGTCTCATGGATTTCCTGCCTACGCTGGCTTTAAACTGTGATCCTCAGTTCTCAACCTCCTGAGTAGGTAGAAGAACAGGAATGAGCCACCAGCTCAAAAAAAGTTTTTTAAAGAAAACTGCAAACCACTTGGAAGTTTGTAAAAGGCTTTTTACAGATAAGATTCAATATGTGGCATAAATTGTGATTGGACTACAAACAAGTATTAGTAAGAAGAGAAAGCTAAAATGTTAGATACACTAGAACACAAATCAACTCATGCTCTTGCTCAGCTCTTTTATTCACAGATAGTATTCTAACACTTGAGCTATGCCTACATTTATTGTTTCCCCCCCAGATCAGAGTCTCAAGGATTTGTTTTCTTGGGCTGGCTCTGAATTGAGATCCTCAGATTTCAGCCTCTTAAATGTCAGGATTACGGACATGAACCACTAGTGTCTGGATCTTTCAATTTGTGTTAATACATATATACATATATGTCATCCTGATAAATTCACTTTTTATTATGATAAAACCTTTTCATAATATTCTGTATCTTAATGTCTCTTTTTTCCTACTCTGGAATTAACTCACTGTGGAGACCATAGAGTCTCTGGGAGCTATAACCGAGTGCAGGAAGTAGTAGATGGTGGATGTGGAGAAAGCCTGATGCCAGCGGAAAATGGCAGGTTTGTGTTTGCCTTATCTTGTATCTAAGTAAAGACACAAGATTCTGAGTTTGACATTACACAGAGATCCAGTCAAGACAGGATGAAAGCTTGTGTACTTACCTTATTGCCCCCTGATAATCTGTAACCAGACCCTTGGAATGTGCCCTTTGTTCTGTAACCAAAACTGCCCCAAACTAACATTTAATCTGACCCACTAAAGATATATCAGCATCAATGGTTCACATCTATAATCCTAGCTACTCAGGCGGCTGAGATCTGAGGACCATGGTTCAAAGCCAGCCCAGGCAGTAAAGTCCTTGAGATAACTTATCTCCAATTAACCACCAAAAAACCTGAAGTGGAGCTGTGGCTTAAGTGGTAGATCACCAGACTTGAGCGAAGCAGCTCAGGGGTAGCAACCAGGCCCTAAATTCAAGCCCCAGTATAAAGAATGTTCTGCAGTTTAACTGGGTCTGTCCACTGAACTCTTCCTTTCATGATAATATGAATATATGTTCTCAAACACTAGCATTATGAATAACATGCATGAGTAATCCTTTTTCTGCCACATGGTGTCTTTTTTTTTCTTTTCTTTTTTTTGTTGGTCATGGAGCTTGAACTCTGGGCCTTAGTGCTGTCCCTGAGCTCTTCAGCTCAAGGCAAGTGCTCTACCACTTGAGCCACAGCGCCAGTTTTCTGGAAGTTAATTGGTGATAAGAGTCTCACAGGCAGGAAGGTCGGACTGTCCTGCCTGGGCTGGCTTTGAACCGAGATCCTCAGGTCTCAGCCTCCTGAGTAGCTAGGATTACAGGTGTGAACCACTGGTGCCCACCAATGTCTTATTTTTTTAAACAAGAATATGTGACAGAGGTAGAAAAGACATGTGCCACTAAACCCATCTTATAGACTGAGATAGGAGCTTGCTTTAGTCTTCTCCTAGAAGAGGCATGCATTTTTTTGTTCTTTCTTTCATTGAATCTGCCTTTTAAGTGAACTGCTTAGGTGGATTTTAGTCCAGCAATTATTTTGTCTGCACTGTTTTTCACTGATGTTTCTTCTATTCTTGCCTTCTTTTGGATTACTTTTTAAGATTTCATGTCATGTTAATATATGGATTAACCTTTTGATTTTTTTGAGACAAGATCTCATTATATATAGGCTGACCTTAAACTCACTGTGTTGCCCAGGCTGGTCTTGAACTCTCAATTCTACCACTCTTCCTCCTCAGTGCTGGGTTTACAGGCTTGTACCACCATACCCAGTGGCAGCATTAACTTAACTGTACCTCTTGGGACTTAAGTGATTGCTTCAAGACCATGGTTCTCCAACAGGTGCCACAGGGAAACATTTCTGAGTTATCTGGGGACAGTAATTAACTCACAAGAGGCTAGGACTATCTTTAAGTAAATTTTAATGTTTCATCCACATCATTTTATTTTTTTGTTTTGTTTTTTTGGTTGTGGGGCTTGCACTCTGGGACTGGGCGCTGTCCCTGTGCTCTTCAGCTCAAGGCAAGTACTCTACCGCTTGAGCCACAGTGCCACTTCCAGTTTTCTAGTAGTTTACTGGAAATAAGAGTCTCACGGACTTTCCTGCCCAGGCTGGTTTGAACCATGATCCTCAGATCTCAGCCTCCTGAGTAGCTAGGATGACAGGCATGAGCCACCAGCACCCAGCCATCCACATCATTTTGAAGTAATATCTGGAATACATTAAGCCCACTAGGAGAAAAAGCATTTCAGCTACAGCTCTGAAAAAAAAAACCACAAATCTATGAATGACAGAAGCTACAGCACATATAACTCTTTTATACATACAGAGGTCAACTTTGCAGTCACATTCACAACTAGGGTTGTTTTTCAACATAATAATTCTTAAACAGTAACTCACAGCTGAAGAGTAGAGTTCGAACTCTTGCTCAGGAAGGAAGGAATGCCAACCATCTTCTATCACTTCAAACATGGGCCGGTAGAAAAAGGGGTACATCAGAGTGACTGAGTCCAGGGTAGACAATGCCTAAGGGGCAGAAAGAAAATAGGAACAACATGACACCCATATAAGCCTAATGACAATGGTACCTAGGGTCATTCTCTAATATTGTAGCTATCACTAGATATAATTACAGTCCTGCAGAAGCAAACAAACCACTGACATATAATCATTATTCAACAACTGCCACCTGAATGAAAAAAAAAAAAAAATCGAACAAAAAATGTATGCCTATTCTAGAAGAAAAATTAAATAATTCCTCAACACAATTTAATAAACCAACAAAATATTATCTACAGATCTGTCAAGGTTTTCTTCCTCCTTTTAATAGACAAACTCATAACATTCTGTGGACACAAAGCCTAAATGAGTCAGTCTCATAAAGACAGAGGAAAAAAAGGCCAATGACTATCTAGATGTTACTGTAAACATGAAGTCAATAATGATTTAAATAAGGTAATTTAAAATTTGAGTGCATCATGAAAATGTTGGTTAGGATGAGGAATACATCAGAGTGAGCCTTTAATTAAAATCTTAAACTACCAAGTAAAATTTCTATTTATGATCTGAACCAACATTCAATATTGTTTAAATATAAAGCAAGTATTTTGACATATGTAAACTGATGAAAATAAATGTGGAAACTGAGACTTACTAAAAACAAACAAAAGACTACAAACACTGATAGTAACTTGCTTTGTCATGGAGATTTGTCACACAACAATGGGAGTAGTCTCTACATAAAACAACAGCCCTAAGAGCTAGACGATATTATTTTCATTGTCAAAGGTTTAAGTACTTCACTCAAGATTAAAAAATTAAGATGAGAACTATGCTATTACAACGAAAAGATCAATATTAAGATTTCTGTCCAAATGTCTGTGGAGTTGCAATCTATTACAAGGGACATGCCAGTACATTCAAGACAAAGCAATTCTGTGTGTAGTTGCTAACAAACTCTCACTAGTGGCTTTCCTAATTCAGAGGGCAGGTAAGTCAATGGGGCTTTTACAGAACCACTTGTCTCACTCAAATTGCACCCTATATCATGTCCCAAACCAGCTGTAATTGTTCTTGCTGGTTTAATATCCACAAAAGCTGGTGTGTAGGAGGTTGCAGAGTGCTTCCCTAACACACAGCCCTGGGCTCCATAGCAAGCACCAGCAATTCCTCTTCTTTTTACATTTCATATAATATGATTTATTCCCATTGAGGAAGAAAAAAAAACTACCTTTAATAGAAGAAAAGTATCAAGATTTGCATAGTGAACATGAAACATCAGGCAAAACTTTAAGTTTGTCCTAAGAACCTCTCAAAACTAAGATATCCAATGATTTTTCCAAACAAGTATTCACACATACTCAAGTAAAACAGTTACTATATTTGACCCACATGACCTCATGGGAATGCTATGAAGTAATTGGAATGCACTTCCATAGACTTTAAACAGGTTAATGGAATTACGGTTCTTTAAGCTGAGCAACACCAGCACTGCCGTAAGTAAAAGAAGTCCCATTTCTCCAGTATAACAGTAAATCAGGGTGAGGCTTTCCCCATCAGCTTCCATATCCACAAACAAATCTAATATATCAAGAAAGGATGCAAGAGTTGCTCAGTCAGAATACAGCTTTTATCAAATAGTTAATACTTACCTACAAAATACTTACCTCAATGGAACTGGCTATATTTAAACATTCCTCCATTCCAGGAATATCCAACTGAATAATTCGAAAATCTTTACATTTTATGATGATGGTCCCCAGAGATCCCACAAATCTGAAAGGAATTACAAATTAGGCTACGAATACAGAAATTCCTAATGTTAAATATGATTATTTCTTTGAAAAAATATAGTTGAAATCACCATCAACGTTCAATTTTCTTCTCAATTAGTCTAAAATTAAGCTCACATTATTTAAATATTAGCCAAAAAGTACTTAAAATACATGTATCTAATTCTTTTCCAAATAAAGTAATTCAAATGTGGCTAATTCATTTAACAAAGACTATGTGTACTTCCTCCAAAGAACAGGAAAAGCTCTGTAATTAAGGTGTTAAACAGAGATATTTCTCAAACAGGAAAAAGAGTTCACTGTAAACTGCACAGAGCTTGAGTTTGCAGACCTTTAAAAATAAAAACCTCTTTTCATTATTTGAAAACTACTAACTTGGAATATCTATATTAGACTAAAGAAAACTTGAGAGTCAATGTCACGTTTAGTCATAATTCTGCATTAGTCTATTTCAGTCAAGTTTACTTTACCTTAGTGGAGATTCCTATGTTCTTTCATGGTCATACAGTTTGTCTATGCTTAACAAGAGCTGGCTTTTCTCTTGTGCACTCACTGCCCCCAATTCTCTTCCATTCTGAGTTCCCCTAAACTGGGAAGTTCTAGATCGATCAAAAGCTGGTAACTTTATCTCCATTTTACCCAACTTAGTAACACAGAACCTACAGTTACTCTCCCCAAGTTCACCTTGGAACTTGAGTCGGTTGGACTCATATACATCACTTCCCGTGAACTTTCACAGGCAGATATTGCAATGAGCATGGAACCAATCTTAGAAAAGAAAATTTCCACAGGGTATCCACAAGCCATTAGTACAATGGGATGCCTTTACTAAAATGCATTTTCAAAAGTCAAACACTTGGCACTTCTGCTTCTATTAAAAGCAAGATAACAGGGCTGGGAAGTTGGCTCAGTGGTAGAGTGCTTGCCTCGCATGCATGAGGCCCTGGGTTCGATTCCTCAGCACCACATAAGCAGAAAAAAGCCGGAAGTGGCGCTGTGGCTCAAGTGGTAGAGTGCTTGCCTTGAGCTGAAGAGCTGAGGGACAGCACCCAGGCCCAGAGTTCAGGCCCCACGACCGGACCCAAAAAAACAAAACAAAACAAAAAAGCAAGATAACAGAGACTCAAAGAACCATAATTACTACAAACATAGAAAAAGGAATAACTGTTTTCTAGCCACAACACAGCAAGAAACAAAAAGAAAGATGCATGAGCACCAAGGTGAGTCCTCAAATTGCTTGGCTTATGGTTTTGAAAGTTTCCAAGCAGGGACAGAAAACCTGAATGGAGCAAGAGTCTGCAAAGACCAAATGGACTAAAGCTTAGTACTAGTACTCTCACTACAAGAGTACTAGAGAGTACAGAGAACATTACAGAGATATGCTGAGGGTAGACCTCAGGTATCTAGCATAGTACTAACCAGCACATGAATGAGATATAAAGTAACCTAAGGCTGATGCTATGGAAGTTCACAATGGAAGCTTAATCCTCAGAACAGCACCAAGAGGCCAAAGTTAACAATCAGTATGTCCTGAGATCCCATGAGCTCCATCTCTCTGATGTTCTTTTGTCCTTACGCTATGGGATAATGCAGCAGAAGGTCTTGCTATTAGAATTCTTGGCCTTCAGAACTGGAAGAAATAACCTTCTCTTTATAAAGTACCCAGTCTGCAATATTCTGTTACATAGCAACACAAATGGATAGAGGTATCTGGGAAAGAGCCAGTTCAGAGGATTAGAGAAAGCAACATATCCTAGGAGTGAAGGGTTAAAGTACTTGAAGCAGTGACCATTTGTTGCTTGTTTCAGCTAGCAGAGCAACACGTGGTGGTAATCCAAACACCTGGTTGTGTGCCTTTATAAGCCCTGCAAATCCTTAGCTCGGGGCTCTCCTCCTAGGCTCCGCTGTGTCGGAGTATAGGACAAGGCCGGAGCTGCAGCTCGTCTAAATAAAACCTTAAAACAGCTGTAAAGTTTGATTCTCGGTGGTCTTCTTGGTGGGGGTCCTGCGATCTGGGCACAACATATTAGTGGGGGCTTGTCCGGGATTCCCCCAAAGGCCCCCAAGACCTCAGATTCCAAAGGTAAAACAGTGCTGTCTTTGTCAATTTGTCTTGTCCTGTTGTTGTCTGTTTGTACTTTTGTTTTCCCTTGTGAGGACGGCTGCTCCAACTCATATTATGTAAAGGGTTGTCGAAGCGGATGCGCTTGCACGACAACCCTGGAGGAACTGGGAGACGTCCCAGATCCTCTTGTGAGGGGGGAGGGGGTCCTTGGAACCCTGCCGTGTGAATTGTGGGGCGTGGGTTGGTTCGGTATTGGGCCAGAACTGACCAAGAGTGCCTCCTAAATAACTGAGGCCCAACTTGCCCACTGTGGGTCCGCTCCTTCTGCTGTGAGGCGTGGGTCGGTGTGGAACCCCACTGTGACAGGAGCCAGCGGACCAATTCGGGAGATCTCCACTTCGTAACTGTCAAGCCTGCATGTGTTTTGTTTGTACTGTATTGTTTTTTTGGACTGTACAACTGACTGGACTGGAAACCATGGGCAACACTCTAGCCCCCTAGACTTACAAAAAGAAACTAAAAAAGAGGAAAAGAAATTGTACCCCCCAGTTTTTCAGCGAGATAACTTGGAAGAAATGTTTCCTCCCCCATACTCCCCTTCCCAGGTTCCTTTTGCAGAACCTGAGAATAATCAAGAGGAGGAAGGAGCTATAGAACCAGCAGCCGAACCCACTCTCGGCACCTGCCCTTCAAGTTTCTGAGGGGCCAGTCACTCTACATTGCCGTGGGATCAACCCCCTTCTAATGCAGCTGTTTTTCCCTTACACGCCATAGGTCCTGTGGATGTGGATGGTCAACAGCAACTCCAATATTGGCCATTTTCTACCAGTGATCCATACAATTGGCGCACCCAAAATGCCCTCTTTTCTGAGAAACCCCAGGATTTGTTTGCTTGAAACTATTCTCTTTACTCATCAGCCCACTTGGGATGATTGCAGTCAGCTTTTCCACGTCCTTTTTACTACCGAAGAGAAAGACCGTATCTGAGAGGCGGCCCGGAACATATCCCTGGCCCCACAGGAGCGCCCATCACGGATCCTGCCCCAATCGCTGCCTCTTTTCCTGAGATCTGACCAACATGGGACTACAATATGGTTGAAGGTAGGGAGCGACTCCTTGTCTACTGCCAGGCTCTGTTGGCAGCTCTCAAGGCGGCGGCTCGCCGACCTACTAATACGGCCAAAGTTTATGATGTTAGACAGGGAGGAAATGAAAGTCCGGCAGCAGATCTTGAGTGGCTCATGGATGAGACCCAGGAGTCAGCTCAGATTATTATGTTTGCCTATATAAATCAAGCTGCACCAGACATAAAGCGAAAGTTGCAGGCTCTTAGACAGACTTAGTGAAAAGTCTATTAGGGATCTAGTAGCTGCAGTGGAAAAGGTTTACAATAAGAGAGAGACAGAGGAGAAAAGACAGGAAAGGAAGGACAGAGAATGTGAAATTGAGCATGAAAAGAGAGACCGGGCCAAGGAAAAGAGGCCAGACTTGTTGGACTCGCCACTATCGCATGCCGAGCATACCTGGTTCACATTTGAGATGGAAAAAGGTACGCGGGCGCTGCAGTCACCACAGACACCGAGATAGTGTGGGCAGACGCACTTCCCCAGGGAACGTCTGTACAAAGAGCAGAACTAGTGGCTCTACAAATGGGAAAAGGGAAGAGACTAAACATTTACATGGACAGTCGGTATGCTTTTGCCACTGTGCATGTCCATGGAGCCATTTACCAAGAGAGGGGGCTGCTGACAGCTGAGGGAAAGAATATTAAAAACAAACAAGAAATTTTAAGCCTCATCCGGGCCTTATGGGAACCAGCAAATATTGCCATTATGCACTGCCCTGGCCATCAAAAGGGAACTGATTCTATAACGAAAGGAAATAACTTGGCCGATCAGGCAGCTAAGGAGGCCCTCCAGCCCAGAGCTCTGCTTCAGACCCATCTAACAAAGCCAACTGGTCCCAGACTGACAGTGAAGACCATCAATAAGAAAATATCCAGTGCTCATCAAAAGACAACTTGCAACATCTGGCATACAATAATACCAAATGTTGATAAGAATGTAAAGAACAGGGCTCCTGACCCCCATTCCTGGAAGGAAAGCAACCGGGCAAACATTGAATGCTGTACTACTGTGGCATGAGTTCCAAGTAAGATCTATACTCTCTGGTCAATTCTGTCTTAGGCACAATCCCACAGAAATTTATGCAAGACTACATGGGACTTGAGTGCACCTATTTTTCAGTTGTTTATGACAGCAAGGATTTAGAGGTTATGTAACAAGGTCTACCAAGTAAAATGTTTTACCTACTTTGAAATTCTATGCTACAGTTAAAAGCAGTGATATGAACATACTTACTCCTATCACTCTAGGAAGAGATCCTGAGAAAAGGTATCGTGTTAGAAGCTGAAGACACAGAACAGGGGCTGCAGGGTGTGGCTCAAAAAGTTCAACATTGGCCTATCAGTATCAAGTACAAGGTCCTGAATTCAAATTTGAGTACCTCCAAAACAGCATCTACAACATTCTCTCAATCAAATCAAGTAAATGAAGCTCACATGCATGTGTGCACACCCACATACAGCAGTGCTTTCTAGTTTACAGTGACACTTAACATAGCTGCCTAAAGGAACTGTGGATGAAGTAGGAAATGAGAGTGGAAAACAGGGAGGTAGAAGAATTAAAAATCAGAGGAAGGTTGGAAATGTGCTCAGTGATAAAGAGTGCTTATCTGGCATGCTCGAGGCTCCAGTTCAATCCCGACACCACCAAGAAAACAAAAATCAGAGAACCTTTTATGGAATTAATCATGAAAATGATGAGTCATCAGGTGAATAAGATTATCTCAATTTTCCGACTCAGAGAAACATGAAAAGGTCAATATGACTGGAAGATTTGTTTATGACTGTGCTAAGATCAAATAAAACAAAAATAAACCAAATACACAATATATATGAAGTTACTCTATAGACTTACGAAAAAGTACTCAAATATCAGTTGCTCCTTCTTTTAGAGGGGTTACTTATTCCTAAGTGACAACCTGAGGCTCAAAGAGAAGCATCGGCTTGCCCAGGACATTGATCTACTAAAAGGCAAAAAGGCCAGTGCCACTCTCAGACACTGTGTGACTGTCACTGCAGCTCCACTTCATCAGCCAGGCAAGCAGCTCCAGCTTTAAGTCACATCCCACATCTGTTCAACGACCTCACCACCACATTCTAAATCACACCACTATTTACCTGGGTTACCCAGCAGTCTCTTAGCTGAACCTGATGCAGCAGCTTTGCTCCTCTACAACTCATTTCCTGCCAGCAGCCAAAATCATATACAAAACCTACTACACCTCCTTGCTTTCAACTCTCCCTAGGGTCCCTGGAAAACCATCTCAAGAGCCTTCAGATGCCCCTCCGGCTCATCTTCCAGCCACACCTATGCTGTGTTCCCAGGTCCTGACGGTTCATCATGCTCCACCCACAGGCTTCTCTGCTCCCCATTATACAAGCCAAGGCATATTTCCAACTCACATCTTCACATACATAGTCACACGCCACCCCTCAGGAAGTTTCCCCCCTAGATAGTCACCTAGATCATTTCTTCTCTCCTTCAGGTCTCAGCTCCAAGGTCATCTGCATTCTCTGAAATCATTTCCAAAGACACGGACACTCTAATTTCTATCTTTTTCTTCCTGCCACTACCAAACATTGCTTGGTATTTCTCTGTTGATTAATCCTACAGTTCACTCCTCTGCTATTTCTAAAGCTCCTATCTGCCTCAGTCACTATAGCACTGCAGGGCCCAAACAACACTCTGAGAAAAGACAAACAAGCAAATTGACGTGCCCACACTTCCGCTCTCTCCACCATGCCATGCTGCTTCCCAGGGAGAGGAGTGCTGTGGCCACTCCCCTCGTGTCGTGTCTCCTGTAACAGATCAGAAGACCCATGCCTCATATGATTCCTTCTTTATGTTCTAATGATGCCCAGTACCTAGTACATGCTAAGTAAATATGGAAAATGAACAACCACAAAATGAGGTCAAAGAGAAATTAGGCAGAGCCAAGCACTGGTGGCTCATGCCTTAAAATCTTAGCTGCTCAGCAATCTGAGATCTAAGGATTGGGGTTCCAATAGTCCATAAGACTATCTCCAATTAACCAGCAAAAAGCCAGAAGTGGAGCCTTGGCTCAAGTGATACGAGTGGAGGCCTTGAGCAGAAAAAGGCACATGGAAGTAAAATGCCAAGTTCAAACCCTAGTACTGGCAACCAGAAAGAAAACTGGATGATCACAGGAGACCACTAATATGTGCTCCTTGGCACCACCTTCCCTTCAGTGGTCAATCTTTCTATTCTCCCATATGTCTGTCTGTCCATATCTGAGCCTCAGTTGAACGTTTTAAAGGTGACTCCTGGCTTTAAAGGTAAATATAGGGGCTGGGAAGGTGGCTCAATGGTAGAGTGCTTGCCTGAATGCATGAGGTCCTGGGTTCAATTCCTTAGCACCACAAAAGCAGAAAAAAAAGCCGGAAGTGGCGTTCTGGCTCATGTGGTAGGTAGAGTGCTAGCCTTGAGCTGAAGAGCTGAGGGACACTGCCCAGGACCAGAGTTCAGGCCCCACGACTGGACCCAAAAAAAAAAAAAAACCCAAAGAAAAAAGGTAAATATACATATATATAATAACAAAATAAAATCTGAATATACACAGTGAAAAGACTGATCATTAAACAGCTACAGAATTTCAAGGCAAGGAGAATTACTTCCAGCTGCAATTCACAGATGAGGCTGTGAAGGAAGAAGTAGTGAAGCAGAATACTTATATAGGGAACAGTAATGACAGCCAAATGTCTGGAACATAAAAGCTAAGTGAGTATCAACTTGGAAGGAGCTAGTCATCCTTGCTGAAGGAAGAGCTTAGTTTATTGGTTCATTAGAATCAATAGGCTTGGGTCAATAAAGGAAATACGAAAGACTTATGCATAGAATGGCCGGACAGCAGGTTAGGGCAGGTTATGGTATGTCAGCAACAATAGGCTGGATGAGTTTGCTTTACCATGCAGGCCATGAGAGACTAAGCTCTCTGCCTGAGTAAATAAATCTAGCACAGCCTCACACAACAGCCAGAAATTCTCCCAGTATAGATTATTTTAAGGCATATCTTTTGTAGAAATCTTCTTAATATTCAAATTTTTCTGAGAATAGAAAAGGTGTGGTTTGTGTAAACTGAAGTGGCTGAGTAGACCACTGCTTTCTCCAAAGGGAAATGGGGAACCTAAGTGCAGATGGAAGAAAAACTTTTTGAATGGGACTCTGCTTTGCAAAGATACCAAGTACAGGGAGGGGGAGATAAGAAAAGGGGGCTGGGAAAGTGGCTCAGTGGTATGGTGCTTGCCTTGCATGCATGAGGCCCTAGGTGGTTTGATTTCTCAGCACCACATAAGCAGAAAAAGCCGGAAATGGTGTTGTGGCCCAAGTGATAGAGCACTAGCCCTGAGCTCTTCACCTGGGACAGTGCCCAGGCCCAGAGTTCAGGCCCCACAACCCGACAAAAAAGAAAATGAGCGGGGCGCTGGTGGCTCACGCCTGTAATCCTAGCTACTCAGGAGGCTGAGATCTGAGGATCATGGTTCAAAGCCAGCCCAGGCAGGAGAGACCGTGAGACTCCTATCTCCAATAAACCATCAGAAAACCGGAAGTGGCGCTGTAGCTCAAGTGGTAGAGCGCTCGCCTTGAGCTGAAGAGCTGAGGGACAGCGCCCCAGGCCCAGAGTTCAAGTTCCACGACCGACAAAAAAATTAAAAAAATGAAAAGGGAGAGAGATTAGCTCATACTTTTTCTTGATAGCCAACACTGTTTTTTCCAGAAGCATAATGAAATTATAAAATTCTTTTGTTGGGATTTATTTGAATAATGACCCAGAAGGCAAGAAATAAGGAGAAATATGACAAGCTGAATTTTGTTTGTTTGTTTATTGAGACTGTGCTCCTCTCTCTAGCACAGGGCTGGCCTGACATTCATCCTCCTTTTGCCTCAGGGTTGGGTTTATAGGCACACCTGATTTTAATCTTTTTTTTTTTGAGGTAAAAACAAAATGCTTTTGAATGAACTTAGTAAACAGACTGGAGTTGTAGCTCAAGAGGTACAGTGCCAGCCATGAGAGGGAAAGCTAAGTAAGAGCTGAAGGCACTGAGCTCAAGCCCCACTACTGGCACACATACAGTGAGTGGCAAGGACTTTCACAGGCACAACCGTAATCCCAGACTTGGGAGGCTGAGGATGGAGGATTGTTGAGGCCAACCTGAGCTAACAGCAGGTTCCAGGCCAGCCATGAAGTCTTAAAACAAAAACAACAATAAGTAAACAAAATTTATCTAAATTGTACCCAATCACAACTTAATTAACTGCGACTGGCAATAACGATGCACGAAGTAGAATGGCTCAGGCCGCCCCAACGGTATCAAGGCAATCAAACGGTCTGAAACTTGCCCATCGTGAGCACTTACCCAGGTCTGGCAGCAATCAGGGATCCCGTCCGTCCCGACGGCTTTCTAAAGTCTCAGCCCCGGGCCGCGTCCCTGCCCCCCCCCGCCCGGCGCCCCGCGGGCTCTCACCGCTTGTCGATGGCGTCGATGTTGGAGTGGAGGAGCCACAGCTCCTCCGTGCTGTCCTGCCGCGAGGACAGGATCAGGTGGTGGCCCGTCAGACACAGGGTCCCCTCCACGGCCGGATAGAAAGGCCGGTGCAGCACCACGTTGTCCACCCGAGGGGTCTTGATCAGCTCGGCGAACTCCATGGCCCCGCGGCGGCCGAGCCCGGCGCTGCGAGGCGGTTACGCGCGCGGGCGGGCCCCGG